CTACGTAAAAAATAAGTAACGACGACGACACGACGTACGTGGACGAAACTACTAGTTCTACTTACGTCCTACGTAGTCGTGTCGTACGTCCTCCTACTATATATATATATATATATATATATATATATAGGACGCATCTACACAAGCAACGCCTATGGGCGAAATGCTACAATGATTTCGTCCATAGGCCAATTGTCGTCTGAAAAAATCGGACGGCGTGTTTTTTTCAACCACCACAGACCTAGCATGTCCATGGCGGTTACCGGTGTTTCAGAAAGTGCTCAGCGGGTCCTAGGCGGCCTAGGGGGTCCAAGTCGCTCAGTGCCTAGGCGAGCGCCCAAGCAGGCGCCTAGAACCTGGGCGGCCCAATTGAATTCAAATAAGGATTCTGCAGTGCAGTTATGTGAGTATCAGTTATATATATTGTAGTACATAATTCAACTTATGCTACATATTAGCATTTAGCACACACTCTATAAACATAATCATAATCCAAAGTCGGTTCATACTCCATATTCAGTTAAAACTTAAAATTTATAACCAACCAAATTACCAAACCAAGTTATCAAATAGTATCACACCTATACTGCAGTACACCATCATGAGGAAGAAAACAAAATTGAATTATGAAACTATGAAAGTAATACTTGAAGACTCAAAAAAATCTTCAATAATTCAATACACAATACTTCGATCAAAGTTCAAACTTCAACGTTTAATAATTATTCATCAATCAATATTCATCATTCATTCATCATCAGAAAATCTTGGGTCAGCTGCATTGGCATCATATTCATCGGAGTCGACAAAGTCGTCACCCTTCTCGACATATTGGTTGTCCCCGGCCTCCTCCGTCTCTTCTGAATCAGCCTCTTCTTCCTCCATCCTTGTTCTCTGTGCAGAAGATCTAGTGGCCCTAGGAGGGTCAGTTGATGTCCCTGAACCATCCATGATTATGTCCCATGTCAATCCTTCATGTCCCTCGACCTCATCATCATCAACTAACCACACCATAGCATGGTCCATATTTTTGGATTTGATGGGGTCTTTTTTATATCTCTTAGCAAACCTGTCCTTCAAGAATCGATTGTACTTGACATAGACTAGGTCATTGAGCCTCTTTGATTCAAGCATATTCTTTTTCTTTGTATGAATCTAACAAAATCAAATGAAACTAATTAAAATCTAATATCTATGGTTCATGTATTATTTATAAAATTATACAAATTACCCTTACGGCCTTACCCCTTCAAAAGTACTCCAATTGCGCTCACAACCGGATGAAGAAGTGGTTAGGTTTAAGATCCGAATGGCTAATTTTTGTAAATTTGATAACTAAACCCATGTTGGCTCCATCAATAGGCTGCAAAGATATAGAATAAAATCACAAATAAATAATAGAAATACTTGATTACTTGAACTTGATGAACTTAAGAATATTATTAATACCTGGATCAATTTTGGCCCTTTGCCTCATCGCCATTAGATTTCCAAAAGATTTTAATGAGCACTTGTAATTTATCAACTCATCAATATATATAATATCCTACATATCAGGATTAGGGACTAGCACCTCTACACACTTATTAAATCCATTCATAATTGTGTCATTTGTTTGTATATCCTTGTCAATATAAAAAAAAGCTGGGTTCAAATAATAACCAGTTGCATGCAATGGCCGATATAGCTGCATATCCCACTTCTCATCGATAATCTCTCAAACAGGCTTGTAGCAAGTTTCTTCATCATTGAAATTTTGGGCAATCTTCTTTTGCATTTCTCCATAACGTCATATATATAGCCCATAGAAGGTTTGTCACTATCAACCATGAGAAAGACTTTGACAAGAGGAAAAAATACCTTAAGAGCACCCTTCACCCCTCTCCAAAAAGCTTTAGAGAGTATAATATCTCTCACCTATTTTCCAACCTGATCCTTAGACCACTTGCATGCTTTCCACTCATTTGAGATAAACATTTGCCTCAACTGCACTCTCCTCGAATGTATGCTATGTAGGTATAAGTACCATGTTGCAAATCTCGTGACCCCAGGCCTCACAATCTCTTTCTTCTTTGTAAAGGTACGCATCATGCTAAGGGTGAGATGGTGGCTATAAATGAAATTTGTAACTAACTTAGCCTTTCTCACTACACCTGATATCTCGATTAAACCGCCAAGAGCCTCAAGCATGAGGTTTATACAATGTGCTGCACATGGTGTCCAAAAGATTCTAGGATAAGCTATGCGCAACAAATTAAATGCAGCAATGTTAGAAGCAGCATTGTCTGTGACAACCTGTACAACATGCTCCCCAACCTCCTTGATTCCCTTCTCTATCACTTGAAATATGCAGTGGGCATCATGGATATGATCTGAGGCATCAATAGACCTCAAAAAGACAATCCCTGCAGGACAATTCACAAGTAAATTCATCTGACTTCTTCTCTTCCTATCACTCCAAGCATCACCATAATAGAAACCCCATACTGAGCCCATACATTCTTCTTAAGTTCTACAGCTTCCTTGGTGGCACTCACTGCCTTTTTTAAAAACAAGCTCTAAAAGCTCATATGAGGTTGGGGATTTTATCCGAAGGCCAAATTAGCCAACGGCCTCTATCTCGACATAGAAGCTGCTTAAACTAGCGGTATTGAAAGAAATGTCCACCTCATAAAACCATGTAGCAAGATAATACGCAGCTCTATCTCTCTCTTCCTTCTTGATTCTATTTTCAATGGTCGTTTGCTTTTTTGTTTTCTCTCCTGTAACCTCAAAGTCAGGCGGAGGTAAAAAACTATCAATAAGGCCTCTAATCCGAGGCTTCTTAGTCCCAGAACTAGAAGCAAGTACAACTCCTTTCCCCTTTCCCTTAATAATGGATTGCTCAACCTCTTGACATCCCTCCATTTCCTCATCACTATCATCATCATCAAAATTGACCCGAACCCCAAACCTAATCTCTGCTATAGAGGCAAATCTTTCATCTTT